ACCAGGGCTTGATACTAGCGTTAATGAACAATAAAGCATAAATATCGATGTTAATAATTATTTCAATAAATAAATGAATTGGGAAAAGAACAGGAAGAAGAAAAAATCTAATTCCAAGAGATAAAAAATCCACAACACTTCTAATTTAAGTAACTTCAAGATCAATAACAATATCAAGTAACAATCAGTAATGATTTCTTTTTTTTTTTTACTATACCTCGTGAACTAGCTTGATTAAGCTTAAGGCGAAGTATTTCTTTAGTGGTTAGATCACGAGGTTACATCTCATGTGACTAGCTAATTTATATAACCTTTCACAATACTATCTGTACGTCACTCATAGGGTATGTTTCATAACGTATCCATACTGAAATTCAACGTGCTCTAGCTAGAAGGTGAGTTAACACTTTAATATAACTAAAACTTCATAGTTGAAGTAAACGATATAAGGAATAATAAATGAACGGTAAACATAACCACAACGAAACAAAAGTAGAATTTGTAATCTTACAACATAAATGAACTACATAAACAGGGGCGTATAGGATTATATTTATGATTATATTTATATACACGAACACTTAGATAGATAAAAATACATAATATGATACAACATTTAATTTTAACTTCATAAGGCCCAATATCCTATAGTGGCCCCTGTATTTCAGTGTGTTCTTTTCTTCCAAGTAAATCTCAAATGGTGTATTGTTAATGTATGTTATAATAACTTAATTCCATGACTTCGACAATCTTGTTAGAATTGTTTTTATCAGTTATCATTATTAAATGGATATATAGATATACAGCTTACCTAAAAGACAAAAACCAATAATTATGCTCCAACGACGTCCAATGAGACAGAAGACGAATGAAGCTAGAAAGAAGGATGCCTATCCTCTGTTAGGGATTTATTATGTTCGGAATGATCTACCTGGATAAACATGGTTTTCAAAATTAGGTTTTAAGAATGGACATTTGCAAGTACAAATCAACAAAGCAAGTAAAGATGATATAGCATTTACTGTAAAATAATGAAGTTTGGCTATTTGTTGTGTTACATTTAGGTTAGGCTATGTGTCTGGTACATCTTGTCTACTAACTGAATCTGATCTCTCCGATCTACCCAGGAACACCGTACGCACCTTCTTGGATAACATAATTACATATGAGAAGACATTTGATAATGTTTATGAAAGTTGTAGATTGATTGAGGATTAAGGTTAATCCAAATAAGGGTGAAATGTTCTCTCAATATGAGTTTCCTGGGACACATCGTTAGCCGAGAGGAATTGTCCAAAGATCCATCTGAGATTAAATTTATTAACTATTGGCCAACACATATGAACTTGTTTCAGGCAAGAGTATTTCTTAGACTATGCTCTAATAAAATATCTTGAAGACCGTGAGTGAAGGAAGAATGCAAACAGTGTGTATAAAGGGAAGCAAAGTAAAAATAACCACCATATATCAGATATTGCTAAATCCATTCCTCGTAATATAAGCTAAGTTTATATCAGTTTGTTC